TAGGCCTTTATTTTACCATAATTTAGCAAACATTAATGGTTTGTGTGTTGAAAACGCTTTCATGTGCAGTGTTTTTATTAGAAACCTTACAATTGCATAATTTTGTGCATTTATTCTGCTACAAAACCACTCTTTTGTTTAATATTCTAATCAAACATTTTATTGCACAAATTAACAACAAAACTGCAAACAAATCCACAGAGTTGCAATAGGAGAGATTACACTTGCATGTGTGGGGAAGCCAGTAAATGCTGCTGCAGTTGCTGTTGTTTTGTAATGAGACACACCAGGATCAGTGGTCGGCATGCTAGCTTGCCCTCTCTCCTCTAACTGCACTGACTTCACTAGAAAGCATACACTTCATTTATGTTTTAAGCATATAAAGCACACAACATTCTGTTTATTTAATGTGCTTTTGATACCACTAAAAAAATGTTGGCGCATATTTGGCCCATGGAATTTTGGCGCCACAGGGAGCAGAATAAGTACTAACATTTTATTTATTGATTTTTGGAGTTTTATTTTGAAATAGAGAAACCGGAAACAGCTACATGTGCATCACAGCCACCTGTGGGGACTTCAAGGTCTATCATATTCAAACATCTACCGTAATTTACAAATGTTGACACCGCAACGAGACATAACTCAGTAATCCACACGGAGTAATCGCCATCTATAGTGAAAAATATTTTTAATGAAAATAACATTACACGTACATCTCAAATGACAGTCAATACAGCAAATAAAATATCCACAGCATGCGAGTTCTAAACATTAAGACCAATAAAGCGTTAAGAGAAAAACATCAGACTTTTATAAAATAATTTTGATGGATTTTTATGAACAACATTAGGTGAGACAGAGAAAAAAAAAATTAAGAACTCGTTTTAAAATGTCGGAATTTTAACAAGTTTCGGAATTTGACATTATTCGGGCGGAAATGTAAAGTGCTACAAATGTCCAACTTTAATACACTAAAATCAAGGATAACGACGCAGGTGTAATGTGGCATTTAGGTTCCCTTAGTTATTAGAAAACTTTAAGACGATTTCTATTACTAGCCTCGGACTATGATATCGCACACAACGGTGTGTAGCCCCTCCGATTAATAATTGAATTATATTAAAAATTGCCACACACAACCCCGATTAATAATTGAATTATATTAAAAAGAAAACTATATTTATGGTCTACTTCATGTGTATCTATGGACAACTTCATACAGCAGCATCGGGTTTTTTTTACGCCTGTATACAGGTTGCTTTAAAGTGCTAGTACAGCTCTCGCCGGAACGAAGCAAAACAAAAGAAAAACATTAAAAATGAATTATTCGAAACTAGGAGCTCCTCACACTCACGAATGCGACTTCAGTTGCTCCAGGTGCAGAACCAGTTCTTGAGCACTCGGTCTGCAGCGGGCGTCTCCTGTCCAGCAATGGCTCAGCAGGGTCCTGCAGCGCCGGCCCAGCTCAGCGAGGAGCAGCTGGCAGTGGCTCAGGGGCGGCCGCAGATCCTGGGCCACGACGGCGTAGAGCACGTGTTGTTTGTCACCGGTGTACGGGTGATCTCTGGTGATCAGCTGCCACAGAGTGATGGCAAAAGAGAAAATGTCCGCTTTGGCGGTCACCGCCTCGCCCTTCAGCAGCTCCGGCGCTCTGTGCGTGTACGTGCCGCCCATGTGGTTCAGGTTCGGGTTGATGACACTCGTCTCGCCGCCGCGCTCCAACTTGACAGAACAGCCAAAATCCACGATCTTGCACACGTCCTCGTTCGACACCAGTACGTTGGCGGGCTTGATGTCCAGATGGACCACGTCGTTCGCGTGGAGGAACCGCAGGCCGTGCGCTATGTCTGCGGCGTAGCGCAGCCAGCGCTCCTCGGACAACTGCTCCGTGCCGCAGTAGATGAGCTGCTGCAAATTTCTGTCCCCGGCGAAGCCCATCAGGATCGCACCGATGCTCCTTCCTTCGTCCGCGAACTCCGCGGGCACGCACGTGGTGGCCGCGATGACACGCACGATGTTCCTGTGGCGCAGGTGCGCGGCGTTCAGCTCGGCCCAGAAACTCTGACGGGACGCCAGCCGGTTTTTGGTACACGTCTTGACTTTCTTAAGAGCCACTGTCTCTCCGAGATACCCCGCCTTGTAGACGGAACCAAACCCGCCTGAGCCCACTGGCTGCAGCCAGCGCAGCTCCTCCCAGTGGATTACCGAGGACCAGAGGCGGTTGGCGACTTTGCCGTGAAGCCTCTGAGCCGGGACTTGCAACGTAGAGCCATGGGAACAGTGCTTGCTCAGTGGACTGCTGCAGGCACCAGTGTCCAGGGATGGGTAGAGGTCCTTGGGTAGGAGACGCGTTGGAGGAATGGGAGAAGGCATAGTTGCACGATCTGACAACAGCTGTGCGAAAGGACCAGCTCTGTCTCACCTTTCCAGCCAAACAATGACGAACTCACTCGCAGAGGCAACACTGCCGCTCAGTGTCGAGGAGTACGCACCGCCTTTCGTTTGGGTTCAACAGGTTCATTGCTCCGGTTCAACTTAGTTTACTCCGTGTGCAGCAGGGGTGTATGGGTAATTTGAGCCACCCCTTTTCTTTCTGATTGAGCCGAAGCCCGAAGTTATTTATGTGTCAAAAGCTACTACGTTTGGCGCGGCGCGCATGCTCAGGCGTCTGTTCCATAGTGCTCAGTTTTCTAAAAGGACACAAACAGGGCCGTTGCTAGCTATCTTGGTGCCCCCTCCTTAAAAACCCCCCACACCCGATCTGAGCAAATCAACACTTAGCAAATATCTCAGCAACTACTGCACTTTGTTTAGTAGGGCAAAATATATTGAAACACCAAGATATAATACATTGGTAAAATGCCGCAAAATCAGAATGGACCTCCGAGAGAGTCGACAGGAAGTGAATTGTTTTCTTTTTTCTCCCTCCAAATATGTATACATTTTGTATTTGTTGCATCTATTTTTGGTAGTTCTCAACCATCATTAAGGAAGAAAAAACTAAGAAAAATAAATAGTTTAAGTTTAAGTGAGGACCAGTTGTGTAATGTATATGCACATATGTTTACATATACACATATACTTGTATATGTATATATACATACATATTAATAGACATGTAAACATACATGTATATATACGTACATATATGTATATGTGTGTATATATTTGTATATATGTATGTATACATATGTATATGAATATTTTACAACAAACAAGCAGAAACCGGTTCAGTCCTTCTGTTATGTTTATTCAACTCTCATTACATTGTGTCAAAAACAATGGAGTAGACAACTGCAGCTCATCTATTTCATAGCAGCAAGGTATGTAAATTAAATCATGTTACTTTTGCCCAGACAATAAATAATCTGTCTCTTTGGAAGATGTCAACATGTAAAACAACAGAAAACAGCTGCAGCATTTGTTTATTTTACAACACCTATAAACATATACATATATTCACCTATATATATGTTTATGTGTATTACCTTTGACTATATTTATATATATATATAAAAATACAACAGTAGTTTGTAAAACGGATGTGAAGGAGGAAAAAAAAAGTCATATTGAGAAATAGCACTGAGTTCATCATTGACACAGGAAGGCATTACTGAAATGCAATTGATAACTGAACCAACATGGCTGGAATGCTCTGTCACTGAACGTTCCTCAGCTCATTCTGAAAAACATCACAACACAGGGTCGGCACAGGTGTATCTGTTCACCCATGACGAGTGCATGTCACTCAGAGCAACCTCCCACTGTGTCTTCGATTCCGCAGGTCGTCAAGGCCAGAGCTGGGCCTACTTTTTCGGGTTTTTTTTTTTGCAGTGAGTCACTATGCATTTACACTAAAAAAAAAATCTGTGTCAGTTGAAAGGCTCGGTACATTTGACTCAAATTTCATTTTACATTCCAGTCAAAGCGATTCATTTCATGTGAGAAATGTTTCCATATTTTACCATGTGTTTTCTTTTGGGGGACAGTTGTCCATGTCGAGGTCCTGGCAAACTCCTATGGGCAGTGTCTCAATTCGTTGCTGCAGCCACAAGAGCTATTGTTCAAGACAACCCCGGTGCTGCAGCTCACTATGACATAACATTGTCACGTAGGACCGAAAAGCCTTAACAATAATTAATTTTTTTCTTCGGAAAACATAGAATGCATCTGACAATACCCAACTGCAATTTTTGAATGAGATTTCTTTTTTCAGATGATGAATACAGCACCAGCTGGCTGCAGCCAAATGTAGACACAGTCCTATCATATTTAATAATAATATTAATAAAAAAAAGAAAAGCAGCAAATATGGTCTAGGAGGTTGGGTTTTACAAGGAGCACGCAAAGTTGTCCCATACAGTCACAAAATGTTGTGGTGCTTGCAAGGATTCCTGCGGACCTGGGAGGGCGAGTACTTTTGTGTCTCGTGGATTGTGAAGGATGAAAATCAGGACCACAGCAGAACTCACACTTTGTGGTTGAGTGGGGGTTTACAGGCATTTTCAAAAGACTACAAAGGTCACAGAACAATACAAATATTGGTAACTTGTTTATAGTACGACCAAACACACACTTTTTCAGCTAAACCAAATATTTCTTAAACAAAACCAAAAAAATAAAAAATAAAAAATGATACATTTAAAAACTACAATAGAGGTCTGTAGCACCATCAGGAGCTTTAGAAGTTTATGTTAGCAGCTTGATCCAATACCAAAATATATTGCAGTATTGCAGTGTTTCTTTCATACACATTCAACAACAGTTCACTGAAACCATCTTAGCTTTTATGCTAATAAAACACAAACACACACACAGAAATATGTGTATATGTATATATAAAAAACATTTATACATATATAAACACATTTAAACATATATATTTACTGTACAGAGCACATGCATATATGTTAGCATATGCTGTACGTAAGCTCAATGTCTGTGCTTCTCACCAATGACCAATGCCTCTTGTCACGTGTCGTCTGTCCTAGGTGGTTTGGGAGTTAGGACTTAATTAATGACCAAATCGAAAATTGTTTTTTTTTTCCAAAAATATATATATATTTTTTTAAAAAAAAAGCTTTATGCAAGAATAATTCGTGATAAGAATGGATCTTGTATTAAGAGAGGACTACCCCCAACCTTCCTTTTCCTAAGTGCATCTTTCGATTTCTGAGGTCTTAATACAAAAAAAAAAAAAAAAAAATTCTCTTCAATTGAAGTTTTGGGGCTTCTGAACTGTAGCTGAACAACCAGCATCTATAAAACAGAGCTTATGGGAGACCTTTTCTCAGTGCATAAACGTAACCTTTTTTTAGAGTGATACCTCACTACCCAAGTTAACTTTTTTCAACTTGTGACAATCGTCCCACCCAGTTGTCACACTGCGGATCACTGTAGTCTCTATTTATTTCTTAAAACTGCATTAGCCTCAAAGCAGGGGTCTCAAACTTTTACATCCGGCTGCAAACGCCAATATCTGGCCTGCGACCGAATGTCAATAATGATTTAATTTTGCTCTTGGGGTTTTTTTTTTAATATTTATTTTCAATTGTTTTGTCTTTTTGTTAATTAACCCTTTCATGCATGATGGGCACTACAGTGGACAGCTATTAAAATGTCATTTTCTATGATAAGAATAGGTTTTGATGGCAGTGTTGCATATAAGCCTCTACAGTGGA